ATTTCATTTTTTTTTAAATAAAATTATTAGCCTTAATTTAATTTTTATAATTTAAAATGATACTCATTAAATAATGATATTTTTTTTGTTATAAATGTGTTTTTAACATTGTAAATAATTACGAAATTTATGTATTATTAATGAAGATTTTTTCATTTTAATTATATATATAAACTTTTCAAGGAAAATATGCGGTATTATGCAGGAAAATATTGATTGTTATTGTACTCTGCAGATTATTATCTGCAGAGTACAATGAAATATTTCGTTTCTAGAATTCATGAATTTTAATACAAACATCGAAAAACGAATAATTTAGTTGAAAATGTAATTCGTGTAATCAGAAAAAAATTGTTAAAACCAATTTATTTATTCGTAATCTCTATATCGAGTGTTTATTTACTTTCATTTTTAATTAACATTTACAATTAGTTAGATCGCATCGTTATATTTTTATTGTACCTATTTGAATTCAGTCAATATGTAGAAACAAAAAGATTTATTATGTATACAAGGTTCGAAGTGTATGAGGCAAAGAGGCTGATCTTTGCCTCATACACTTCGGCGAAATCTGTAGGCTTATACACGTGAAGAAAAACCAGAAAATTCTTTGCAATAGAATAAATACTCACTAAAGTAGCTTTTTATTTGCATGAATTTTATAAAAGCAACTGTTAATTTTTATAATCGTACAGGAGTAGTGTCAGATTTATTTTCATAGTTTATAAGTAAAAGAAAAATTTGTCCTTCAGAATACAATAAATTTTTGTTGATCACGTAATGTGTCTGCTTGTTTATCTGAAATCCACGATTTCCGGGAAAATACATACACGTTAGCAGATAATTAGTAGCAAAAATTTCCTTTTTATTGAAAAACTCTAGAGATTTTAAAACTGTAATTTATATTTTAGATATATTTATTTAAAATGTAAAAATTGCTCTATTCAAATCACTTTCAGCGTTAATCAAAGTATAATTTATATTTAATAACCATCATATAAAATTTGATAGTATTTTAACTTTCTATTATAATCGATCGAAAGATTACGTTTTATATTTATATTTATGATTCATAAATCATAGATAAATATCTTGAGTTAATATGAGTTTGTCAGTATTTACGTCTCTGCATAATTCAACGAAATTCTATAGGCGCGTTCAACCGTTCCACTAAATTGTCTTTTTTTTCTGTGCAGAGAGTCTTTCATCAAGCCTATAATTCAGCGGCAGACAATTGTAAAACGGACCTATTCAATACGATTTATTTCCTAAAAACTTCTGGCATTTTTTTCAAAAGTATTTTATTTCAGTCACCCATAGCAGAGCTGAAATTCTGCAGAATTATTTTAGTTATTTTTTAATATTTATAACGATTATTTGTAAAATTTAAAATATTATTTAAGTAATATTATAAATATTACGAATACTACATATACCTTTTTCTCTGCTATAAGTGACCAAAAAAAGGACTTCCTTAGGTCAGAAAACATCAGAAATTTGTTTAGGAAGTGAACCGCATTCGATCGGTCCGTTTTACAGTACTTGTAACATTACGGGCTTGACAAAACACCTTCAGAGTGCCCACAAAACTCAAAAATTTCGAGAAAAGTTTCAACGCCCATATAAAATTTCGTTAATTTATGCAGAGAATAATGCAGACTAGCTCATGAATAATACATGAATACATAACGCAATCCTCGATGTGCGCACACCACTTCTGTTAAAAACGAATCACGTTGCGACAATTGACGCAAAGTAAAACATTACGTTGGATTTAACAGATACTCCTTGTAAGTTATATTGTACTAAAATATATTTAACATTACTCTCTATCGTACATTACTTTCAATAAGATGATATGTTTGTGCTCGTTTAGAAATATATTTTATCCGTTTTATATTTAGATATAATTTTTTACTTAAA